TTACGATTCACAGCCCAAACGGATGGCACCGAAAGCGCTTCCGTCCATATCTGCAGTCGTAATTCTGGGGGCAAAGCTCCGAAATAAGTAAAGCGATGCGCTGCGTCCATGTTGTACCCCAAATGAAGAGCGGAAACGAAGGAAGCGTAATACTTGCTGTGCTAGCGTGACTTCGAAGGCGGAGAATGTGGGTTGTAGTCTGTAGATGACAAGTTGGCTGTGAGAGGCTGCCCAGCCGCCTGGCCATCTTCTTCAGCAGGCAGTGTCTCCACACGTCCGCGGTAAATACAGCGGCCTGGGGTAAATATCAAGACCCAACCAACTTGCTTGACCACTAACAATATTTACATACACATGCTGTTCAGGTCATACGTTGAATGGCCATGATCTCATCACACATCACCAATTTCCAAAGAACAAACTGGAGTCGCAGGCACTGTTCAATGATCAAAAATGCTCGGAATGTTTCGAACTTCAGAACACTTTGTAGAGTCGGTTTTCTCGGCCCTCAACGCATCAAAAACTCCCTGCGTACTCTGGGGACACTATCTGCTTAATGTCCACGGCGTGCCTTCAATCATAGGGGTAGGTGCATTCCGAGCATTTGCATTGGTGTCTTGAATACCAAGGCTAACAAACAGAAAGTCTATAGATTTTGTCGTCCAGGATAAAATGCTTTCGGTCGGCGCCGATGCTATTTCAGAATTACCCGAAATCGAGCAATGCCCATCCGTGGAACTATGCTTTGCGAGCTCGCCTGAGCGCCGAACACCACCGCCTGCATTTCATGTGCACATCAAATCCTCGGAGCTCACCATAGGGTTATACCTACAGTCAGAAACACTATGGTTTCTACCAGACTTTGACGATTCCCTCTTAGCTTTCGAAGACAAGCAATCAGCGACATTTGCTCTTGCTCATAACCGAGATGTGCTTCCACCCTGGCGACCGGGTCGCGGATCTGGTGCTTTCAAATCTACCGACACCTCCATTGTCGTACCCAGATCTCACATACTGTTAGAGGCTTACCTGCGACTCTATGCTCGTGACTCAGGCAAGACAATGGGCTCCTTCGCCATGGCCATGATCGCCTACATGGAGGAATATGTTGACGACGACGGTTTGCTCGACTCGAAACAACTGCCGGAACCGCTGAAGTCATTTTACGACGAGCTTCGAGTCGGTGAAAAGCCACTCCGACAGTGGACAAAGGAATTCAAAGAAAGCCTTAATATTCCTGACGAAGAGTCTGAGGATGAGGATCTCTGGTACTGAAGGATCGGGCAGGTCATTGTAATGTTGATACTATCATTCTTCACCCTTTCACATTCGCGGGGCTATCTATCCTGTATATTGCCCTTGCAGTATTGAAGTATCCTTCATATTCAATAATGTCTTCCTCTCCTTCGGCTTCGTAATGATAGTGACCTCCAGCATTCTTTCCCAGTGGAGAGAACGCGTGCGTATGCTCAATCCTCAAGCCCATCTTGTTGCCCGGATCCGCAGAGTGCAATACGCATAGTCCCACAACGGGCGAATCGAAATCATGAAAGGTCAACCATTTCTCAACTTCCTTTCTATCCTTAAAAGGCAGATCGCTCTCAGCAGGGAAATCAGGCATGATGTGGTAAGTTGCCTTCCCTGCCTTCACAACAAAGGCTCCGCCGAGACTGATAGTTCTTTCATTGCCATATGCAGCATTCAGCCCTTTCCGGATACACTCGGTAAAGCTCTTTTCAGAACCCTTGCGGCCCTTTGCTGTAATCTTGAGGACCGGTCCTGGCTCGCCCAAGGAGCCGTACAAGTTGACCATGAGACCGCAGTCTACAGAAGGGCTCGTTCCAACGCTGACTTCTCCGGTGGTGCGTTTGATCTGGATGACTTGACTTTTGTTATCGACCTTGTCAAGACCCCCTTGCCAGCTGAGATTCGGCGCAAGCTCGCTGTTCTGCCCGATGACGTGGAAAGGACCGGCGCCGGCACCGATCAAGCTGCCCTTTTCAGGGCTCATTTCCATATTCTTGCCAATCTCTGGTATGGACCAGATGCTGTCAAGCCGGGGGCGGGGAAAGAGGTTCGGCTGGCCGCCAACATCTGCGATTTTTTCCTCCCCTGAGAGGCCCTCGGTCGCCAAGTGAAAAGGTGCTTTTCGCAGGTCGGGACAATTGACCACAGCCACTGATGCGTGCTTGTAGTTGGCGTCCAAGGGAGCTTTGAGTCGCTCGACTAACTCTTCCAGGCTCGGGGGCGATAGGAGGAACTTTTCGACACGCATCGTGAGAGTGTGAGGGGTAAAAAGTTCTTAGTTTTTTCCGAGAAGCTGGTTCTCGACGTTCGAGGTAAGTACGAATTGCTGCCTTATTTGAGTCGATAAGACGTTGGTATTATTACTAGAAGTGTAATGTACTTAGTAGAGGTATAGTCGAAGAGGTTATTGTTCGGCCCGTATGACGTGATGCAAGAACCCCGCTGTGCGGATCGGGAATGCCCCGGCAGTCGGTTCAGAGCTTTTTGAGTGCAGCCACGACACATGCACCTCAATTTGAATGGTTTTGGTGTCTGCAATTTCAGGCGGCGTCTTCTGAGACTTTTGTTTTACTTGCTCTACCTTCTTCAATCTTTCCCTAAACTGCTGCAACCCAAGTACCTTAATATCATGTGCACGTCTCCATACATTATGTTTTGCTATAATAATAACAAAGACAAGATTTCTAGGGAATGTTTTCTGTTGAAAGAAATGTCTCACTTACGGCCAAACCAAACCTACCAATAGTGGGGGAAGAGAAATCCCTGAAGTCATGATAAACCCTCGTACAGGCTGGGAGTAACTTAGGTAGGCTACAGTAGTATTAAACCATAGAGCACTGAATCAAAGCACTAGACCTACGTTGTGGAAATAACGGCCGTATTCAACAAAACCTAAATTTCACTCAATTACTAATTATAGCTAAGTGACCACTGAAATTATGCCAAAACATATGCTCATAAAAACTTGTCCCATTCTCTGATGCTATCGCGTTAATGGACATGGAAATGTTGAGTGAGCGGAAATAAGCTCGAATAAAACTCCAGTCTTCGCAAACGCTTTCGAAATTTCATCAGAAGTATTGCCTCTGTCGTGTTCGTATGTTGGAGTCTTAACGGCTACCTTTCGGAGGCCAGGTAGTTGACCGGCCAAGCATGATGATGCCAGACGAAGCAGCATCACAGTCAGAGGTTCAGTGCTAGCATCTAACCTCTCATGAATCCAAGGACGAGAGCCTGGGGCTAAAGAGTACAGGCAGTATCTTGGGTCCGAGTACCAAATGTCATGGAGAGTCAATTGCGTGAGCTTGGGCGGCAGACGCGCAGTGATGTCTGCGTTTGCCATGTCTTCGGAACTTCTGAAGATGGTTGGTAATTCGGTCTCCAACACAGTCAGATCTTCCAAATCTGTGAGACATGTAAGACATGGTTCATCGGGGGTCCGAAGAGCTGAGAGGTCCCCATGTAACAGCGTAAGTCTCTGCAAACGCGGGCAGAGTGTTGAAAGCGTCGTCGATAGGTGAGTGGTGATCCCCGGGTGTGTGGTTTGCTGGAAACAAGGAGCGAAAAAGTGATAGTCAATCTCGATTTCGAGAACTCGAAGACCGGGGCACAGCTGGAGTAGTCGGCATAAATCGGGTCCGCGGATGGCAGTTTCGTGGAAACGAATTTGCTCCAAAGCAAAGGGTCCAGCCGCGGCGACTTGGGCGAGACCTCCCCATCTATCGTTGTCGTATCGCGTAAGAATCGAAGTGAGAGGAGGCAGGGCAAGCAGGCCAGTGAATATACGAGGAACCTCGGGAATGTTCATGAAGTACACCGCAGGGTCTTCCAGTTCCAAGTGCCGCAAATTGGGTAAGGTCCCCGGATGACCTGTCGCATTGCTATGAGTTGGTGTAAGCCGTTTCCGCAACCCCCTCTCACATTGCTCGGCTGACTCCCATATTACGCGTAATGTCAAATGTTGCACATGAACCCCAAGTTCAGGTGTTTCGATGAGGGACCGGATGAGAAGACCAGCGGCGTCTTTGGATTCATCCAGGTTGATATTAGAAAAGAGTTGAGAGTTGCAGAGAAGGTGAAATATTTGACAAGTTTGTGAAAGATTCGACAAGGTCCGGGTATCTCTAGCACCATCGTATCTGTCTCTTCTCAAAAGAGCGACGGAGTCGACGATGCAACGGATGAGCTCGTTGGGAAGGTCCAGCAGGCGTTTCTTCGGCATCAGCATTGACCCCGAAGTCGCCAGCGTTGAGTATTCCATGATGATGCTCCTCTACAACGCGTTCACAGCTCTTTAAGAGCTAGGTGCGAAGTGTATTGGCATGTGAGAAACATGCAGAAACCGGCTGTATTGCGATGAGCGAACTCGAATCTGTGACATCAAGTCGGCAAGAAGGGAGTGAATGGGGTGGCGTCATTCTGACTTTTTACTTCCATATTCGAAGAGGCTGGACAAGATAGGGGCACAAGGGCAGAACCGGCCACTAAGATCAGACGGACCGAGCGCTAGAAGAGGCCAAACGGAGGGCCGAGGTTTTTTTGACGCTAAAATCTTTTGTCATTATTAAATTCGCAAAACGGTTCAAGCTTTGTTACATGATGAGATTCTTCCTTTGTGTCGAAATGGATGACGTGGGAGTATTACATGGAAGTAGCATAACGGAATAAATGGAGGCGCACTGCTACTTCCTAATCTGGTAAGTACCGTTTGGATAACTGACGATGAGGGCACACCGAGCTCGGTGAAGAGCAAGCGATTACATAAGCGAAGTGAAGCCCACCGTTGTCCCAGCAACGTGCCACATGACCCACATGGCCGATCTGTTATCGTTATCAATAATCAACATCACAACACTGGGCATCCTTTTCTAACGCTACCCCATTTCGAACTTGAACATCGACAACCTAGACGCAGTACTCCAGCACCACATCACTCGGAGACGCGACGGCAACTTGCCGCGACGATACTAACCATGGCAGCCTCCGACGATCTCATCAACTTCGACGTTATTGAAGCACAGAAAGAAAACATCCAGGCGCTGCCCAGTGGTCGCTCCGCCAAAAAGCTGGCTCAGCTGTTCTCGCCCTCGCCTCTGCAGAAGCTGAACACACCGACACCCTCAGACACCAAAAATGTCAACGATTGCATTCGAATCGAGTACGAAGAGGAACTCCAAAACATCTCCGAGTCGGACGATCCTCTAGACATTTACGACCGTTATGTGCGATGGACCCTGGACGCATACCCCTCGGCGCAAGCAACACCGCAATCTCAGCTTCACACGCTCCTCGAGCGCGCAACTAAGACCTTCATTGGTTCATCACAATACAAGAACGATCCCAGATACCTCAAGATCTGGATTCTGTACATCCAATTCTTCGCCGACTCGCCGCGAGAAACCTTCCTCTTCCTGTCGCGACACAGCATCGGAGAGTCACTTGCCCTTTTCTACGAAGAATACGCCGCCTGGCTAGAGGGCGCTGGCAGATGGAGTCAAGCAGAGGAGGTGTACAAGCTCGGCATCGAGCGCGAGGCAAGACCAGTACAGCGCCTGATTCGCAAGTTCAAGGAGTTCGAGGAGAGACTTGCCCACCAGCCCGAGGCCGACAACGAGCCCTCATCGCCAGCACTTCCCACCGTGCGGCCCGCTTTGGCTGCAAAGATTGACCCCTTTGCTGCCGCCCGCGCTGCGGCCGCTGTAGCTGCGGACCCCCAGGCCCCTCGACCCAGCCAGGGCGTGAGCACAACGGCGGCGAAGCCTGGCAAGGCTAAGATGTCCATCTTCTCGGATGCCGACTCCGCGCCTCCTGCGTTGTCGTCGCGTGGACCAAGCTCGAAGGGATGGGATTCAATCGGCTCCCTGGGCGACCGGAAGAAGGAGAACGTAATGGAGCCCAAGCCGTGGGCAGGGGAGACATTGAAGGCTGGCGGGAAGAAGAGCACTGCTCCGAAGATGGCTATCTTCAAGGATACGGTAAGCACCAATTTACTTGAACTTCCCAATGCCTGGATGTTGATGATTATAGGACTAATGTTTGGCTTTATGGCGTTTCATGTAATTCAGTCTCAGTTGCAAGCAAAAGTGCAACCCAAAGCCCAATCACGATCATCACGAGCGCAAATGTCCAAGTCCCATATTACACTCGTGCCATCAAAGAATCAAACAGTAGTGAACCCCGTAAGCGGGAAGAAGGAGCGCATTTTTGTTAGCCTCGAGGCCCTCTATCCCACTCCCGAAGAACCTGGCTCAGAGCTTGGTTTTGAGGAAGTTTGGGCCATGAACCGAGGCTGGCTGGATGTCTCCTGGGACGACGTATCACTAACTGAAGAGATCCCTTCCGAGATGATGAGCGTTGAGCCTTCCTTGGTTGACGATCTCAGCCATTTAGTACGGGAGAAGATGGTTGTTCACACAGAAACCGTAGTTATGGATGAGAACGGAGCCATAGTCATGAAAAAGGGGGGCAAGAGCAAGAAAAAGAAGACGATGGAGGTGAACGAGACTCAAATCAGTAAGCGGCTTCCATTTCCACAAGTTATGTCGTGTTCAAGCTGACATTTTGATAGTCAAAGCAAATCTAGACTCACCGTCTAGGCCGAAGCTGAAGAAGAGGAACACGGCTGAGCCAACGATGACGCTCCATACTCGTGCTGCTACGGATGAGATCTACGAGATTTTCAACCAACCCATTCAGTCTAATCCTCTGGATGATGAGGAAGAGGAGGAAGAAGACGAAGAGGAAGATAGTGACGAGGACGACGACTACGAGACAGATGGCGACTACACTGAGGTTGAGAACACCATGACTACTCGCCTGATTGAAAACGACAACGCCGTCGAAGAAGCTGACGAAGATGGCTCGGATGTCAAGAGTATCAGTGAATGGTCTGACTTCTCCACGCGCAAGCACGTCCCTGTTCTTGACGAGGCCGCGACCCAAGCCGGTGTAGACGATACCCAAGCTTCCGACTTGATGAATCCGGACTACGCTGAGCGTACCGGTCCTCTACCAGATGAGCAGACTGCCTCCCAGGATGGCAGAGAATCAGGCGATGAGCAGGAGGCCGAAGAAGAGGAGGAAGGTGATGAGGATTACCCGCCAAGAACGAAGACTATTTTCGTTCCGATACCCCCAGAGGATTATGAGCCCAGGACACGACCGTTTAGGGATCCGGTCGAGATGGCCAATAACCGTCTCCCCTTCATGACTCCGATTACGGAGAGAACCGAATCTTCTCTTGCGTTTACAGAACGGAAGGCGAGGTACGAGACTCCGTCACGTGAGGAATATGAGTCCACTATCCATGAGGAGGACTCTGACATGGAAGAGCCGGGTAGCAGCCCATTGAGGGAAGTGCTGAGCGAAGTTCGACCTATCAAGATTGCGCAGCCCCTTCTCGGTAAAGCAAAGTCTGCTCCATCAAAGCCGACACCTCCCAAGGGACCAATCATCAAGGAGCTGCAATGCAACCCAGTAGATGAAGCTGTGAGGAATGAGATCCTCGCCAATATGCATCCTTCTCTCGACTCATACCCTGGATTCTACGACCATAGCCACGAGAAGTACGAAAAAGGCAATGAGATCCGCAAATTCGCTAAGGCCATGACGAAGGCAGCCAAGGGTGGAGATAGAGTTAGCAATGCTTGTGCCATGGTCACAATCGAGTTTCCCGATATTGCAACAGAATATACCATCAGGAAAGAGCTCGGTGCAGGCGCTTTTGCCCCAGTATATCTGGTTGAGAACCCGGACGCAGACCAAGAAGACGAGGACGAGAACGGGGTCGTGGCCATGGGCAAGGGCGCATTTGCCGTCAACCATCGGAGCCCTCTGGAAGCACTCAAGATGGAACTTCCTCCAACGCCCTGGGAGTTCCACATGATGCGTCTTGCCCACACGCGCCTGGGTCCTCGGCACCGCGTAGCCGCCTCTGTTTCTTACGCCCATGAGTTCCACCTCTACCAGGATGAGGGCTTCCTCTTCCTTCCCTATCACCCCCACGGCAGCGTCCTCGACGTTGTCAACTTCTTCCGCGCCGAGCCGTCTGCCGTCATGGACGAGCAGCTGGCCATGTTCTTCACCGTTGAACTGTTCCGCACCGTCGAGGCCCTACATGCCCACGGCGTCCTCCATGGCGACCTCAAAGTCGATAACTGCCTCCTCCGTCTCGACCACGGCGGCAACGACCAGCCTCTATCAACGCAATATAGCGCTACCGGCGCAGGCGGCTGGGACGCGCGGGGCGTGACCCTCATTGATTTCGGTCGCGGCATCGACATGCGCAACTTTGCGCCCGACGTGGGTTTCATCGCGGACTGGAAGACGAGCGCGCAAGACTGCGCCGAGATGCGCGAGGGTCGGCCGTGGACGTGGCAGATTGATTACCACGGCCTCGCTGGCATTGTCCACTGCCTGCTGTTTGGCAAGTACATTGACACGGTTCGCTGTGACCAGGGCGGGATCGGGGCAGGCGGGCGCAAGTACCGCGTCCGCGAGAGCCTCAAGCGGTACTGGCAGACGGAGATCTGGTCGGAGTGTTTCGATTTGTTGCTTAACCCGGGGTCATTTGTCGCCACGGAGGAGGGCGCTCGCATGCCAGTCCTCAAGAGCATGCGTAGCGTCAGGGAGAAGATGGAGGCTTGGTTGGAGGGTAACTGCGAAAGGGGTGTTGGGTTGAAGAGTCTTGTCGGTAAGGTCGAGGCTTTTGCCAAGGGCAGGAGGTGAGGAAGAGTATTGACATGCCTATCTTGCGTACGATTTGACGGAGGGGAGCGGCAGGTGGGCGTTCCGGGCTCTCTACAGGAGGAAGGAGATTGTTTACGTCGAACTACTTATACCACTGGTGCGGTCTCTTTTTTGCCTTTCTGTTCTCCTAGACTCGGGTCGTAAAAGAATCCTATCACAATAGCGTCTATCTAATACATGTTATGTACACAAACAAACCAAAAAAAGAGTTCACCCCCCGGTGCTGAACTGGGGGCTACATCTCTTATTGCTCATGCTGGGATTCGAATCCGGGTACTCTCGTATGCGCTGAGCCTGTCGTCGAGTAGGCTAGTTAGCGTAGAAAATTGATGTCGACCTTTAACCACTCCACCACCCAGCCAGTTTGACCTGACCCATCGACCTAAACAGGCGCCTGCTGGCTGGTGACTGGAATGAAGTTTGGGGGACCTATATGGGCATGTTGTCGTGATCGGATACAAGGCCTCCTCGAGCCTGAGGTTTCCATGGATAAGTCAAGTGTTTGGTGCCTGATTCATCAGACGAGAGATGGGTAGGACAGGTCCCATCACGAGGCCGAGGTCGACGAGCCCGCCTGATCGCAGAACTTCCTAGATACCTCGAACTCACCGTACATAGATCCCAGGGCCATGGAATATGTCACTGTGGCTATGTTGCCTCTTAGACTATTGTTCCGGGCTTATAATTGGATTTTACACGGCGAACCATCCAGTCGCTCATAAGGTAACAAGGTACATATTGATACACAGCCCAGACATCGAACCCAGTCCAGTCCTCTTACTCGCTCTCATCGTCACTCTCGACCTTCTTCTTCCTACCCTTCCCAGCCGCCGCGCCCTTCTTCGCGGCCCCCTTAGCCCCTTTGGTCCCCTTCTTGGCATCCTTTTCAGCCTTGCGGTCGACCTGGTCCTGTATCTTGTCCCTTTCGCCTGCGCCCTTCTTCTGCAGCTCCACCTCGAGCGCCTTGAACTCGTCGCTCTCGGCGTCCATGCCAATCATGCTCTCCAGGAGCTTGATCTCGTCCGCCCAGACCTTCTTGTCCTCGACGGTCTTACCGTTTGCGTCCTTGTGGTCGATGGGCGTCTCAAGGACCATGGGGAGATTCTGGAAGGCCTCGTGGTTGACGAGGCTGTGAAAGGCGCGGAGACCGAGGAAGCCTGTGCCGATGTTGGCGTGGAGGTCGCGGTGGGAGGCGAAGGGTGCCTTGCTGTCGTTGACTTTGTGGTGTCAGTAATGACGTTCTTACAGTACCGAGTGATCTGGACCAGGGCAGTTGAGACTTACGGTGGAACGCCTTGAGGTATTTATTACCAACGACTTCGTCAAACTCCTTCATCGTCTCATGGAACTTTTCCGGCGTCCGCAAGTCGTATCCTGCCGCAAAGGCATGGCAAGTGTCAATGCACACACCGACTCGCTCCTTGTCCTCGACCTTGTCAATGATTTGCTTCAAGTCCTCAAACTTTGTACCAATGACATTGCCAGTGCCTGCCATGTTCTCCAACACTGTAATCACTTTCTTCGTCGCCTTGTGCGCGGTGTTGAGCTGCGCCGCGATGCGCCCGCACGCCTCCTCGCGAGCCTCCCCTCCAGTGTTGCCCGGGTGGAAGTTGTACAGCTTTATGCCCAACTGCTCGCACCGCTGAAGGTAATCTATGAAGCTCTTGTATGCCTGCTTCGCCTTATCGGCATCCGCTTGGGCGAGGTTGACGAGGTATGAGCCGTGGGGAAGGATGTGTGCGGCGGCATCGTAATTATTTTCCTTTGCGAGGGATACAAATTGGTCTCTGGCATCGGCTGCCAGGGGAGGACTCTCCCACTTCCTTTGCGACTTGAGGAAGAGGGCAAAAGCATTGGCACCGATATTGACGGCATTCTGGATCGAGTTTTGCACACCTGTGGTAAAACTGTCAGCGCAAAGGATTGAGGATAAGGAGGCGTCGCGAATACTGACCGCCAGCGCCGCTGACGTGGGCACCAATGTACATCGCTCTCTTCAGCGAAGACACTGCTGTCCTGTCTGTCAATGGCATATCGTCCTCCTTCTTCGCCTTGCCCTTCGCTACTGTGGTCTTTCTCTTTTTCGCGGGCTTCTCTTCCTCTTCTTCAGCGCAGCTTCCGCAGGCCTCGTGCTCGTCTTCTGAGGACACCTTGCGCTTTGCTGGTGCTTTCTTGGCGGCGGCTACGGTTTTCGTCTTCGTTGCAGCGACTGTTGTGGTCTTAGCGCCGTTCGTCTTCGTGGTGGTCGTCTCTTCGACCTTGGTCTCGACGACTGCTTGCGCCTTTCTGCGTGCAGAGGTGCGGGGAGGCATGTTTTTGGTTTCTCTTCTTCTCAATTCGCGCTGAGGTGAATGATCTTCGCGACAAGATGCGTATCTAGAAGGACCAATTCTCGAGAGATTGAAAGAAAGAGGGGGCAGTTGGAGAAGTAGGAATCAGGCCTTCCAAAAAAGCAAAGACTCGTCGTCGGCGGGCCAGTGATTGGCACGCGTCGAGATCCGCGTCATACATGCGCGATGTCAGGTGACTTTGATGAGCAATTAAGTAGGTACTAAGGTAATGCAGCTGTACGGGTAGAGTCTGTGCTCGACCTGGCTGCTGTTCTCTGTACTTGACGCTTTGCCTTACTTGAATGAAATCTCCCAGTTTGACCGAGGTCATCCACGAACATTTCCATCGTCCCAGTATATTAGATTAGAACCAGTATGAATGTAATCAGACTTTCAATTGAATACCGTAGTGTTTGCTAAAACTGCACCTAGCCATTCCGATGTTTAGTGTACTTTGCTTACCCCTTTTCAACCCGAATACCCTCCAGGCGCCAAATTCAACCGCCGCTACCGTATTTTGACGTGAGTAAGACAAGAACGGAGTACCAAACTCAAATAAAAGTTGCAAGAAAAAGGATATACTGCTGCTCGCAGCTGTGCTATGCTACTTCAAGCAATGAACTGAAGCTCGGCCTTGCGCTCAGGTACGAACTGGTCTTTGTAAGTATCCCAAATCTTCTGAAGTTCGGTCATGTACAGGTCATGCAGCCGGTCAATATCTTCCTGGGTAGGCTGTGCTGTGGGTGACGTGGTGACCTTGATAGGCTTGCCAACCACAATGTTGAGCGGTCTGCGGTATGGCATCATACCAACATCGTAGTTAAGAATTCCCCGACCATGAAGAGCAGGGAGAGTAAACTTAAAGACGCGAAGCACAAACATCTGGAAGTTGTGCACCCAAGGATGGGTTTTCGGGCTGAGTTGGTCGTAGAGGTCATTCTCGCCAAAACCCAGGACGGGCACGAGGTCAGCTCCGGTCCGCAGCGCCATTTTGATAAAGCCCTTACGTCCCTTCAGGATCAGTCTGAGAGTCCCGGGCTGAGCCTCGAGTGACTCCCTGGCACCACCCACAACAATGGTGACTGCACGTCCCATTCCCTCGCCATTGGCGCCGCCCTTGCTCAACGTGTTCCAGATCGACTCCTTAGACACAGATCGAACGCCCATGAACAGGATGTAGTCGCGGTAAAAGGGGATTCGGAAGTTGTTGTCGAGTGTCAACAATGAGTTGGTGATCCCGGGGAACTTCTGGGCGAATCCGAGGGCATTGGTTGCAAATGCCGCGAAAGCACCGTGTGAGATGATTCCATGAGGGTGGTAGCCGAAAATGTACTTCCTTGTCGGTGGAAGATCGTGAGTCTTATGGAGCTCAGCAGGATAGTAATCAGCGAAGAATTTCCAAATGGGAAGCGATCGTAGCCATTCCGACCGTAGCTTCAAGTTGCCATTGGAGGCAACGCCAGAGAGTGACAGGTGAATGAGGTAAGGGACCAAGAGTGGCCAGGTAAAAGGGATTGCCGCGAGGAAAAAGAAGATTGAGACGAAGGTCAGAATGGATAGGCCGTGAAACAGAACGGCTCCGGTCTGGAGACGGCGCTGAAAGGGGACCTGAAGAGGTGCGAAGCGGATGCCTGCAGCCTTCAATCCGAAGCGATGGCTGTTCCTTCGGCCTTGTGCTGCGAGAGTGAGGCGTGGGTAGTTGTCGTCGCTCATTCCCTTGATGCTTGTTGACTCTGATCTGTCAACATCAAATCCATCGACGAGAGTCTCATCGGCGGTGCCCTCGCTACCAAAGCTCTTTTCAGGGTCAACAGCATTGCCATTGCTGTCGTTCTCCTCGGCCTTACTGCCGTTGCTTCTCGCCGAGGATGGGGATCGTCGATGGCCTCTGCTTGGGCTTTTCGGGGAATCGTCTAGGCCCTGTTGGAGAGAGCATGATCAATAAGATGGCACAGCAGCTACTTCAATCCATGTTGACTTACAGTGGCGCTGTACTCGTGACTGGACTCCTTTCTCTCAGCAACAGGTCTCTCGGTATCATCAGGAGCCTGCTTGTCGTTGGTTGAGGACGCTGGTGGCCCAAGCTCTGGAGCTTCTGCTACAACGTTAATCTTGCTGTTCCCAGACTCAGCTGCCTGCGACGCGAGCTGAGGGTTGCTGAATTTCTTGACAGGTTGCCTCTTGGTTGGCGACTTGGAACGAGCTGCGGAACCCTTCTTGCGAGGCATGATGGCGGATGTTGAATGATGGCGGCTCGTATGTCGATATCGGCAACCCAGGTCCAGTTCTCGGTGGGAATGTGTACAAAGAGAAGATGCGGAGTCCAAGAGCGTTTATAAAGCAGGTTGTCTCTTACCTGAAATGACAGCCACCTTGGTCCCGTCCCCAAAGTTAGACATGGTTGCGTCGGCGTCGGATGGCGGCAGGGCCGGACCTCGGACAGGCGTGCGGCGTGGGTGTAGGCTGGGAGCTCGAAGGAGACCTCCTTTGCTAATCGAAGACCCACGGCTTGATTCAGTAAGGGCGGTGGTTTGAGCAGAGATGATCGGAAACTTTTTGGCGCACAGGGTCCGAAGTCTATGAGGGAGCGGGCGAAGGAATGCACAAAGGGAGAGCGGAAAGGTTGTTTGGTGGCAGCTAGCCTGATGT